TATATATATATATATATATATATATATATAGAGAGAGAGAGAGAGAGAGAGAGAGAGAGAGAGAGAACAACTGTGGCAAGATATTAACACTGAATGAATAAGGGTGAAGGGTATCTGGTAATTCTTTGAACATTTTGGCCACTTTTCTGTAGGTTTGATTTTTCTAAAGTATCAGAACATAGTAGCCTTTGTTTTCTTTTCACAAAAACCTTTACACCGTTATATAAATTAACATATGTTCATCATAAACACTTCAACCAATGTTGAGCAAAATGAAGAGAAAAGTAAACATTACTGAGAAACTCCAACACACAGAGATCACCATTAACATATGCAAAGTTACCTCTCACAACTGGGTCCAAGTACATGCTTCTGTGCTACCTGCAATTCAGAGTTAAATATGTTACTAGCCGGATCCTGTCACACATGGCTGATTTAATCTTTACAACCACAAAGGAAGGGGGCATCATTACTACCCTTCCTAGCATAGAGCTGAGAAAACAGGAGCTCCAAACCCTGGTTCACAGGACTATTCAGATGCAGGTCCTCTTTCCACCCTCCTCCTTCTCTTCCTACAAAATCCATATCAAATGCCACCTCCTCCGGGAGGCTTTCCTACACCACTCCAGCCAGAGTGAGTCACCTTCCTCTGGGCCCCCAGAGCAGCTGGTCTGTTGCCCTGCAGCCTTGTTCACAGAGTTAACAGTATCCTTGGCAGCTTCCTCCTCGACCTCGAAGATCCTCTAGGATAGGTACTGTATCCATCTTGGCAGTATCTTCTCAGGACCAGGCCTGTCACAGGTGATTCAGGTTTCCTCATTTGAAGTGGATTTCAGTCTGGGTCACCAGATGTTTGCTTAAAATGAATCATCCTCTGGGAAGACTGAGATGTTCCCAATTAGACCTGGGCTAATTCCAGCTAGGATCCATCATATCTATCTAGGGGTTTCTTGGGGTGATCCCCAGTCTCCCTTTTTTAGTTTTACTTCCTAAGGTTTTCCTTGGCCCTCCGACAGAGATCTCCCAAAGAGGAGAGGGAGGTGGGCAGTAGAACATCTTAGGCAATCTTTCCCCTCCTTGTCTGATGGATCATAGGGTTTCCAGAATTGGAAGAGAATTCTTAGCAGAAACTCAATGGCTTTCAAAGGCCAGGGTGGAAATGGGGCCCGATGGGGCTTGTGGGGAACCAGAGTAGATGATCTGCCTGAAGGTGTTCACATTCCAAGCTAAAAACCACAAACCCAGCCTGACAGCAGCCCTTAGCAGTCCCGATTCTATTTGTTGCTCCTGAATCTAGATTCTATCTTAAACCCCTTTAAAACGGGGAGACTGGGGTTTAAAAGGAGAAAGGGGTTTGCCCAGTGAGTCAGAAGAGTCCAGAACCATCAGTGTTTCCAAGCAACACATTTGTCATCCTCTCCCTCTTTCCTTCCCTTTCTCCAACTCTCTTTTAAGTTATCACATGAGAACTGGTCTGTTTGCCTGCCCCAAGAAGTGGACTCATGCGTAGCCTTTGACAGATGAATAAAGTCATCTTAGGCCACCCCTTTCCTCTTTTCAACAGATGAAGAACTGCGGCCCAGAAGGGGTCAAATAACCTACCTAAATTACACAGAAGTTTAGACAAGAGATAGTAGAAGCTATAACTCTAAGCTTTTTATAAACATACACACAATACAAATCACTTTGTGAGTGTGAGGTGGGAATAAGGGGAGGGGAAATGTTCCAGACCTTTCTCTGTTGCAAAGTGGGTTGTTTTGTATTTTTTAAGATGTTTTGAAGAAAAAAGCAGGCTGCCTCTGATTAACATTGGGTTTACTTTAACTGACTGTTTTAAATTCCATTCTGGTGCCTGAAAACAAACTTAATTGCAAATGGAATAAATAATATGTAAGCTGGATTCCTGAAGAGTTATCAAGGCTACACTTACCATTTAGTCAGATCAAAAACAAATGCCTAAAGTATGCCAGACATGTGAGAAATGTGGGGAGAAATTCTTAAGATCCAAACAAGTGCTCCCCTTGGGGCCCTGGTGAGAGAAAGGAGGGCCTGGTCACCTCCCCTGGTGGGAGGGGTTCTCTACATCCTCCGTAAAAGACAACACAAACTTTATCACCGCCAGGGCTCCCCATCAGAACATACTCTTTTTTCAAACCTCAGTAAACAACCGTAATTAAAATAATTCATTAACTCTGTAAATAGGAGCATCTCCTTGTACCAGGCACAGCCCCAACCCCTGAGAATCCAGTGGTGAATGAGATAGAAAAGGATGGTATCTGTTGAGGAGCTTAAATTCAGGACTAACACTGGTGAAGGGTTTCATGGTACCAGATGCTTTGGGCAGATTATCTTCTCTTTTAATAACTCTCTTGTTCCAAAATTGCAGTCATTTTCTAAAAATGAAAACTGATGGAAACTTTTAAAAATTAGGATAAATGCAAAAGAGCATAAAGAAGAAAGTAAAAAATTACCTGTTTTGTTTTTAACAACGTTATGTGAATTGCTGGGTGGATGGATGGATAATTGGATGATAAATATGTGATAAAGCAAATACAATAAAATGTTAACAATTGTAGCTTAACCTAGGGCATGCAAATATTCACTGTACAGTTCTCTCAACTTTCTGTGTGCTTGAACACTTTCATAATAACATGTGAGGGACAAACGTGACCGTGTTTTATCCCCTGCATTTCATCCACTGTATTATAGGCGAGTGGCTAGCCTATCTCAGCCTCTAGGCTGTGGGCCCCCCCCCTTTTTTTTAAAAGATTTTTATTGGGGGATGGGAACAGCCCTCGGGAATTGGGGGAAGGGAAACAGACAAGTTGCTGTCCTTCTGCTCTTCAGTCTAGTTGTGGAGGACGTTGCCTCACCGGCCCAAGTTGGCACCATCATTGCACTCAACCCGGACGAGGCAGATCAGTCGCCGGTCTCTGGACGGCCGCTCACTGCGGCTGCTGGCCACTCACGCTGGCTGCTGGCCACACAAGGTAGCCCATAGCAACCCGCTGCAGCAGGGGCTGCAGCCCATGCCGCCGCCGGCAACTCACGGCAGCCCAGCTCCAGGTTGAGCTGTTGTTCAGCATCTTAGCTGTGGAGGGCAGTGTCATTGGCCCTCATATGTGGGATCCGAACTGGGACCCTCTGGCGTCCCTAGCCAGCTGTTAACCAATGTGCCACTCAGCCGGCCCCCCACCTCTCTTTTTATAAATCACCCTTACCTTTGAGAATCTGAATTCTATGGACGGCTTCCCAGAAGAATGCATTTTTTATTTCTTTTTCAGTTAAGCACAAATTTACCAGTGCTTTGCATGCGGGAACACACTTAATCCTCACAGTGACCCTGTGGGGAAAGTACTCTTACAATCCCAACGTAAGCTTAAAATTGTGTGTACATCTTTAGGGTCCTACTGTAAACCCCATTAAGATCCCCTGCTGGAGGGCTGGGACCTGAGACTGTGGGGACATGAGATTTCTTTGCAGCCCCAGGACCCGGTGTGGGGCCTAGTAATGAACATTTGTCCAGTGAAGAAACGCTGCATATGGCTGCAGGTAAGGTTGCTATGTGCTCAGGCCCTCCCCAGGACACAAGGCCTCTCTGGGGCTGGGCCATGGCAGGCCTAAGCCTGGAGCTCACTGGAGAAGGGATAACTGAATGATGTACCTGTCAGTTTCTCTAAGGTCAGATTATGAGTATAAGACTCCCATTCTCTAGCGACCCACTCACATGACAGACCCTTGGGCCAGTGATGCATCCAGATTTAAGACATCCACCTCACGGTGCAGTGGTTGGGCCTTACAGGTGGAAAGGCCTGGGTCTGAATTCAGTCTGCCTCTTTCTTTGCTGTGTGGCCTCAACCAAGCCACTTACCTGCTTTGTGTGTGTTTCTTCACATGAAAACAGGTAAAAACAATCCCTGCCTTACAGGGTTTGGGTGAAGGTAAGAGAATCAAGATGTGCGAAGTGCTTGACTCACGGTAACTAAGAAGTGGTGGCTGTTACTGCTGTTTCAGTTTTAATGTGTGGATGTGGAGCACTCCATCCAAGGACATTGGGGCATTGGGGTTTCTCAGAAAATGACCTGCTCGTGCCAAGCCTTGGGGCCGTTCTCTCCAAAGCATCACTGCTTCTTGTTGGGGTCTTGTAAAGGGCCGTTTATCATCTCAGACAACTAAGATAGTTTAACGAGTTGGTGCCAAATTGAAGACAGGGGCCAGTGTCCAGTTGAATTCCCCCTTGAATGATGAATAGTCCTCATTTAAGGATATGGGTTATTCCACCAGCAGTCTGGGATGTGGGATCACACCATTTACCAGCTAGCGTATCTGAGGCAAGATGCAGTAATCCAACTGGGCTCAGCATTTTCATCCACAAAACGGGAGTGTAATAACAATGGCGCCTAATCTGATAAGTTGTCAAGAGTGTTTCATGGTAAATTGCACAGGTGATATTGGTTCTAACATGTATTCATCCCCTAGCATGGCTAGGCACTGTGCTATATGCTTTAGAGCGATTATTTCACTGTAATCCTTAAAACAAAGTTTATGTTGATGAGGTGTCCTTAGCCCTATTTTACAAATGAGGAAACTGATGTTGTGAGATTGCCAGGGCGCACACAGCTAGCAAGTGGCTCAGGACTCAGGACTCTACCACCCTTGGTATTCCTAATGCCCCCTTGGTGACATTATCACCGTGCTACCCAGCCTCCCTAAATCGCCAGGCTTGGCCTGTCGCTGCCTTTAGTCCATGATCTTCGATCTACCACAGGTGGCCTAGGGGCCCGATCTCCCACTAAACATCAGAATTCCCAAGGCTGTGCTTGTCAGAATCTCTGGGTGGGTGGGGGGGTGGGATATAGAGGTTTTTATTTTACTTTATTTAAGATTTTATTGGAGAATTGGGGGAGGGAACAGCATTGGGGAATCGGAGAAGAGGAACAGACAAGTTGCTGTCCTTTTGTTCTTCAGTCTAGTTGAGGAGGACGTCGCTTCACTGTCCCATGTTGGTGTTATCATTGCACTCTTCCCGGGTGAGGCAGTCGCTCGCCAGCCATTGGACGGCTGCTCATGGCTGCTCACAGCAGCTCACAGCAGCTCACGAAAGCTCACACCAGCTGCCGGGTAGCCCCACTGCAACCTACACCATGGCCGGTGACTCGCAGCAGCCCAGCTCCAGGTAGAGCTGTTGTTCATCATCTTAGCTGTAGAGGGCGCAGCATCACTGGCCCTCATGTGGGATCCGAACCGGGGCCCTGCTGGTCAGAGCTGGTGTCCCAAGCAAACTCTTAACCAATGCGCCACTCGGCTGGCCCTAGAGGTCTTTATTTTAAACAAGCCCGACCCCGAAGTGAGTCTGAGGGCTACCGGACTCTCATTTCTGGACATAAACATCCATCCTTTTCATACCAGACGTGCCTTTTTGTTTGTTAATCTTAGAGTAGTGAGGAAATAGATGGCACCCAGAGAAGTAAGAGTTTGAGACCTTCTGACAGCGAAGGTGCATTTTTTTTTCCCTTTTCAAGGCTCCCTTAAAGCACATAGTCTTAGAAAGTGTAGTAGGCTGTGTAAAACACACAGGCCCTGGAGTCAGAATTGCCACCTTGGACGAGTCACTTAATGGTGAGCCTCAGTTTTCCATCTGTAAAACGGACATGCTAAAACCAATCTTCCAAGATTACTGTGGGAATTAAATAAGCAAACACGATGCCGGTTTCTCCTCCCTCCTACCACAATGTGTTTAAAATTGGTCTCAGCGATGTATCTCCAGTTCCTAAGATTGTGTCTGGCACAAATGTTGCGGTAGAGATAACATTTGTAAAGATAAAGTCTGCCAGGCTCACAGCTGATCCTCAATAAATTTGTATATACCGGAGGTGCCAAAAAAAATGTATACACATGACTCGTATTTATATATAGCATCACAATTTTAATACAGTTTTTTCCTTTCTTAAAATGTGTATACATTTTTTTGGCACCCTCTGTATATATACATATATACACACCTATACGTATGTGTATGTAAAATAAGGAGGGGGAAATTTGAGGGAACTCTCATCAATCCGTGGGGCAGGTAGTGGTAGGGTGGGACGGCAGACATTGTATTTGGAATCCAAAGCTCTGGGTTCAAATCCAACCTGGCCCTGGCCAGCTCTGAGGCAGTGCCAGGAGGCTTACAGCTGGTCTCTCCTTTGGTAATCTCCCCTTATCTTTGGGGTCTTCTAAGGAGCCTCAAATCCTTTCCGGAAAGATCGCATACATTTTAAAAAAACAGCCTATTGAGGTCCTGATTCTTCTGTGAGCCTCCGGTCCTCAGTTAGGGTTTTTGGGAGCCTTCAGGGAAAACTCCTGGAAACCCGGGTTTGTTTGTTTTTTACACATATGGGGGAAGGGCGGAGGCGCCCAGTCGGACCAGCATCCGCCCAGAAATGCAGAATTGCCAAAAGAAAAAGCCCTAAAAGGCAAGGGTACTTAAGAGAAAACAAAGGTGAATTCCAGGCATGAGCCTTCCAGTGGGTAGGGGGACTTCCCCGCCCCTTGGGCTCCCAGGTGCGCCGCCCGCGCCGCCCACCCGGCGCCAGGCGAGGGGAGCCGCGCTAGGACCCGAGGAGGAAGCTCTGCTGGGAGACTGACTGGGCCTCCGGCGGGTGCTGCCGCGAGCGGCCGGCGGAGGGGCTGGAAATGAAAGTGCAGCGCTCCGGAGCCACATGGACGGAGCTGCCGGGGCGGCGGCGCCGGGAGCAGGATGCGGCCGCCCGTAATTAAATAGCATTTACTCTTATTATTACTAATAATAATAACGTAATCATACCTCTAGTCATAGCATACCATTTATCGGGCTCGGCGCAGGCCCGCGGGGAGCGCAGCCGGGCCGAGGTGAGTGGTGCGCGCGGCCCGCGCCCGGCGGGGCAGAGGCCGGGGCCCGACCGCGTCGCGGCGGCCGGCGGGAGGGCGCGGGGGCCGGGGCCGCCAGGGCCGGGGAGGCGCGGGGAGCCCTGGCTGGGCTGGAGCTGCGAGGAGCCGCCTGGAAAGTGCATTTGGCAGAGATAGAGCAGTGGCCCCCCAAACCCCCATTTCCACCTATTTGGGGGCTCCCCCCCTTCGGTCCCTGTGCCCTGACCCAAAGTTTCAAAGTTATTGTGCGGCTGGGGGCACCTACCGCTGGGCGATTTGGCCGCCCCAGCAGCTCCCACGGGGGGGGGGTGCCTGGGAATTTTCGTTCGTGGGGGGCTCTCCCCTCGGCGTCTGGAGCTTTGGGATGTGTAGATGCTTCGCCGCCCCCGGCGAAGGGGGTCGAGGGGGCTGGCGGGGGCGTCGCTGGCAGTGCACCCCTGCCTTTTGTATGCGCCTTGGCCCCGCAGCGCCTGGAGCTGGAGGGAGGGACCGCAGCGAGGGCCGAGGATCACGGCCGCCGACGGGCCGCCCCTGCTGGCTGCGGCGCGCACGCGAGCCCGGGGATCCGGGGCCTGCTGCCCGGCCCGGAGGGAGGGGGCAGCAGGAAAGGGGGGCGCGGTCTGGGCGGGGGTGTATTTCCGGTCGCGGGATCAGTCCCCGGGCTCCGAGGCCTGCGAGTGGCCCGTCGCGGGTCAGGGAGCACAAGGGGTCTGCGGAGGAATGGCTTCAGCGCCCGGGGGGCATCCCTGGGAGATGGGTGCCTGGGAGCTGCTGACCCCGGCCTTGGACCCTCCTCCGGTCCTCAGCGGGTCTCTGGGACCCCTCAGAACTTGCCCCCTCTTTTTACCCCTTTCCCCTTAAAATCTGCCAGGCTCGGGTGTTAAGGTGCCTGGTTTGGGGGGGTCTTCCACAGAGACAAAGCAGTTTTCCCAGGGGGAAAAGCATCATGTGGAAACAATTCACCGATAGACCCTGATGGCTGTGGTGCTAACTTGGCATTAGTGGGCAAGAGTCGGGCTGGGGCAGGGAGCGGGGGAGCTGGAGAAGGGGGCTGTGCTGTGAGTGGGGGGCTGGGGGCCCACAGCAGCTTTGTCAGGGACTTCATTTCTCCCGGGGTTGCTCATTGGGACTTTAGTTCCTAGGTACCAGACTTTGAACCCCAACTTCTTACCATTTTCCTCAGCGCCTGTAATTCATCAAGTCTTGTGAAAATAGCATTTTCACACACATGCGATAATTATAGTACATTTAGCAAATGTTGAACACAAAATTCCAGCGGAATCTTCAGTTTCTACTACCAAGACTCTCCCCACATACACCCATACCCACAGCGTCTTCTTTCTCCATTTTCACTTCCCATAAAAATGGAACTGCGAGCTAGGAATGATGCCGGGCCAAAGCACAGTTGGGGCAGATTTGAGGTGTGGGGTGCCTTAAGCTGGGAAGGAGAACCTGTGTCTAGGAGGGAGGCCATCCGAGGATGGGAGAGAGATTTTTTTTTTTTGTGGTTCCTGAGCTGGAATGAAATTTGTGTCCCATGGGTGCTGTGAATCCTAGGCTGTTGGCTTTTTGTTTAGGATGGACAGTTAATGTGGGTTTGGGTGGATTCTTTGGGGCTAAGACGCTCTGTGGGATGAGCTAGTCTCTGGTACAGGAAAATTGAGGCATCAGTAGGTTTGGATTTAAGAACCTGAAAATAATAATCCCTTAAATAGCACTTTTTTGTGTATAACAAAAGGGCTTTCACATATGCTGCTCATCCATCCTCCATGGCAACCATGTCAGGTAGACATTTTTTAATCCTCATTTGCCAGATGAGAAACCTGAGGCTTTGAGAATTGAATATCTTTCTGGAAAGTCACATAGTAGAGCTAGAATTCCAAAGCCTGGTTTTCTGACTCCAAATCCTCACCCTTTCCCAGACCCCTCGGCTACCTTAGCAAGTTACTTTCCACGTGCTGCTTGTGAGCAGGCTTGGGGCTGAGTTTGTCCCTTTGAGTCTGGCTGGAAAGAGAAGGTGAACTCTGGTGAACCAACGAGACAACAAGGAAATGATCGATACTGGGGGTCAATACAGTGCAAGTGGAGAGAAGAGAGAGCTCTTAGGGTAACCTGAAAAAGTTAGGGAAGGCATCTTCCAGGAAGTGAGGCTTGAAAGAATGGGGAGGCTTTGACTGGGTAGAGAAGAGGAAGGAATTCCTGGGCTCACCACAGTTGCCCATGCCCCTGGGAGGTTGAGTGTTCTGTTTAATTCTTACCATGGCTGCATGAGGGGTAGGCGTTATTATCTCCATTTCAAAGTTGAAGAAACTGAGGAACACAGGATTTATGTGGCTGGCTGAAGGTCACCCAGCTGGATTTGAACCCAGGCCTGTGTGACTATTGAGTGAACTACATTAGAGTGGTGTCAGAATTGGACCACCTCTACCTCAGATATGGAGACAAGAACAGAGACCAGGATGGTCTGAACTGGCAAATGCAACAGGGTGGGGGCTTAAGCTGAAATGAAAGGTCAGCAGGCTCCTAGAGCCCTATGTCCCAGGGCCTCAAGGGGCTGGCCCAGTGAAAGTACTCTCAAGAGATTTCTAGAAGCATGACTGGAGAAGGCAGAATGGTGGTGGAAGAAGGACTGGGTCCTGCGCACGGAGTTCTCGTCTAAGTTCAGTTCCTTAGTGCCGACTGGATGCCTGGCTCAGTACCTTGGAGGAGCTTGTGGCTTGGACAGGAGAAAGATATGGATGCTTAACCTGAGCTGCCCAAGGACAGGAACTGGGTCTGATTCACCCCCTGTGCTGCAGGCCCTAGTGGAGGTGCCAAGAGGTCACGCTCAGCCATTGTGTTGTCAAAGTAAATTATGCCCCACTGGAGAGGAGGAAGGTTTGTTTTGCCTGGGGGTAGAAGGTCTTCCTAGAAGAAATGCCATTTGAACATTAGAAAAATGGCTTCAGGAATACCAGACAAAGGGCATTTTAAGGAGATACACTGAGACAAAGGGACAAAGGCAGGGTCACATAAAGAAGGAGCAGGCCACTCATCTGGCATGGCCGTAACATAGGGAGCAGGTATAAGTACGGGTTCAAGTCTGACTCTGCCACCGAAGTCCCTTGGATTCTCTGGGCCTAAGTTTTCCTTTCTGAAGCCTGAAGCCTTTCTGAGCCCTGAGATTTGATGATGTTTGATGGTATCCTGAGGGCGAAGCCCAGTGCCTGGGGATTGCAACAGGCGACTCAGATGAGAGGAACTAGAGGGGTTTGTAAATTTTTAATAATTTAACAAACACCCACCCAGCAAATTCCCTGGTGGTCAGGTCCTGTTGTGAGTGCTTTTTCCTAGATTAGCTTATTTAATCTTTTTTTTTTTTTTAAGATTTTGTTTTATTGGGGAATTGGAGGAGGAGAACAGCGTTGGGGAATCAGGGAAGGGGAACAGACAAGTTGCTGTCCTTTTGTTCTTCAGTCTAGTTGTGGAGGACATCGCTTCACTGGCCCGTGTTGGTATTATCATTGTGCTCTTCCTGGGTGAGGCAGATCAGTCGCCGGCCACTGGACGGCGGCTCATGGCGGCTGCCGGCCGCTCACACTGCCTGCCGGATGCTCACGGTAGCTTACAGCAGCCTGTTGCAGCTCCAATGCAGCCTACGCTGTTGCCGGCGACTCATGGCAGCCCAGCTCCAAGTGGAGCTGTTGTTCACCATCTTAGCTGTAGAGGGCGCAGCGTCACTGGCCCTCATGTGGGATCCGAACCCGGGCCCTGCTGCTCAGAGCTGGCGTCCCAAGCCAACTCTTAACCAGCGTGCCACTCGGCTGGCCCCTTATTTAATCTTTATAACAGCCCTATAGGTAGGCTCTATAATTATCCTCATTTTACAGGTGAAGAAACTGTGGCATAGAGAGGTTAAGTGACATTGTGTAAGAGGCAGAGCTAGAAAGCAAACCCAAGGAATCTGGCTCTTGAGTGGGCCCAGTGTGGGCCTAGGTATAGCTGGGAGGGAAGAGAGGGGACTGATGGGACCGGATTTCAGACGGCAGAAGGTGGAGGTGTCCTCCAAGGAAGTTGGGCTGCAACCTGAAGCTGGAGTCTCAGCCTGGGTTGATGAAGTGACAGCTCTATATCAATTCCCAGGAGCCTCCATAGAAGCTAGCTCCTTTCATCACATTTAATGGCCCATGGAAAACGGGCTTGTTTTCATTCCTCTGTCATCACCAGCTACAGGGCTGCCTCCTGCCTTATTTATTTCCCTTGGCCAGTCTGTTTGTTTGCGAGGGTCCTGATGGCTTCCGCAGGTGTGTGAGCGCTGTTTCCCCATCAGGCAGATGGTGGAGGCCCAGAGGAAGGGGCAGCAGCATTTCTGATTCAGAACCCATCTGCAGCCTTCTGCAGGTCAGCAGCTGCGCCTGGGCCCGTGTCAGAGGCCGAGACACTGGCTTGATGTAACGGTGGCCATCGTGGCAGCAACTACCACATATTTACCGCTGCCTTATGCCTGCGCTGTGCTGGCCCCTTCCGTGCCTTCTCTTATTGAATCCCCTTAATCACTCCTTGAGGCAGGAGGGATTATTAGTATCCCCATTTTGCAGATGAGGGGACTGAGGTTCCAAGATCATGTGGTGTGATAGAACAAGGGGTCAGAGTGAGCCAGGCACATGGGCTCCCGAGCCCAAGGTCTTAGCTGCCATGCAGAAGAGACGCCTTCAAGTTTTTCCGTCTTCACGAAGCTCTTATCTGTCTGGAAATCCTAGTTATCTAACATTTGTATGGCGCTTTTGCCCACAGTCTCTAATTAATCCTCATAGCTATCCTTCAAGGTGGTGTCCCTGTTTTACAGAAAAAAACCAAGGGGCCACCTGCCCACCAGCTCTTCCTACGCTGTCCACACAGTGACTCAAGAAAGGGTACAGTGTCAGATTCCCTGAGACCAAGAGCCGTGTCTTCCACTTTGTGCTGGGGTCAGCCAGTGAACGGCCATTGAGCACTTCCTGTGA